TTGCAGGTTGCAGAGAACAGGAGCACAGGCATTTGGGATGCAACCAATAATTCAGTGACCATCAGTCCCATCCCAGCCTCTTGCCACATGAGCAGGACATGAGATGCGTTGGTACAGTGCCTCTCTGAGTGGTAATATAGAGAGTGGGTGGGTGGCACACTACATGGTATGTCTGGGGAAATGGAGGCAGGTGACAGCAACATGAACTAGGAGGCCCCTTTATGTATTCAGGATGAGGAAATGAGAGCCAGACCCAGGCCATGGGAATTAGCGCAAGGAGAATGAGAAAGAGGTATGAGAGAGATTTCAAAGGAAGTCCATTCAGGGCCTGCTCAAAAGCGAAAAAAAGGAAGAAAAAGCGAGGAAAAGGAAGAAACAAAGTTGTTTACATTTTTTAAGCCAGAGTCTAAGGCAGTAAGTAATTAATGGTGCCACTTACAGACACAGGGAAGTTGAGAGAGGTAGCTGGTTTGTGAGCGAAGAGAGTGGATTATCACTTCCAGCAAATTGAAATGGAGACAGAAATCCAGGTTCAGGAATCAAACTGGGCACCGGAATGAAACTGCAAGTACAGATTGGAGGCCGTGACGTGGCCGTCATCACCTGTAATTCTAGCCTTGGACCTTCAACACCTCCACCCAAATCAGCACTGCCATTTACCAATAGCTTTTCAAAGCTTGTGGACAGAAGAAACAACATGGCCACTTAAAAATATTTGGAAATAACTGAAGCTATTTATTCAAATGAACAGATCAAATGTCATAAAGGTAGGACAGCAGCAAAGATGTGGGGAGGAGCAGGAACTCTGTTTAAGAAATAAGGATATGGCTTTTATTAAGAAAGAAACCTCTGGGCTCCCACATGCTAATCACCTGCTGCTTTCCTGGCATTCCTCAGGGATCTGCAACTGTCTATTGTTTAGTCTTAGATCTGAAAGAATCTGACTGTTTGACCCTATCCAGGAAACACTGGAATGACTGCGAGCCCGCTGTTTCCAGACTTTCGTGCCATACTTTGACTATCGTTTTCTGAACCCCAGTGCTACCACACCAGAAATGAGAAGCAAGGAGAGGGAATGCAGGGCTTCACCCAACCCATCTCTTCTTTTGCTTGTCCTCTGTCTCCTCCACGCTGGTGAGCATTTTCCTTTGTAGAACTACCTCAATTGAGCAGGGAGAGGCTGGCTTGGGCAGAGACCTGATAGGGCGCCCACATTTTATTTTTAGCTGTGCGATGTCCTAGGTGGGATTCCCAGAACTACTTGATGGCCCTGTGCAGGAGCTTCCCAGGCGTGCGTTATAATTGATAGTATCCTGCTTCTATGCAGATAGATACCCCACAAAGAAATTTTATGTGAAAAGTATCTGCACATTGTACTCCTTATTGCATTGTTTACACATGTGGTGGCCTTTGTAAATGGCTTTGCAAAAGTCACGAGGGAATAGCCAAATTAACTGGTGATGTTTTTCTTCTCCTTTATTAGATTCTGCCCTGATTTGCTGTACAAAGTGGTGCAATCACATGGAAATGTGCTCTGTGCTCCCGTGTGCTTTTCAAATGCAAATGAGCAGGTTAACAACCCCAGTGTTGCAATGTTTTGACCTTAAATCTGCTTGGATAACCCAGAGGCAATATTTGTCCTTTTGGAATAGGTCAAATAGTGTATGACAGGAGGAATCCAACCAGGGCCCTGAGCTGTGAGACAGAGAGAGAACAGAGGAAACAACAGGCTGGAGATTATTAAAACCAGCATCCAAGTTGGCTCCTGATTCGTGGCGAAACCATCCCTCAGCTTTGAGAGGGAGTCTGTTAAATCATGAAACTAATTGCCATCCTTTTCCTCTGCTCCAGGCTGCTACCAAGTTTAACCCAAGAACCATTCTCTGAGGAAATTGACTGCAATGACCAGGAAGTATTTAAGGCTGTGGATGCTGCTCTGAAGAAATATAACAGTAAAAACGAAAGTGCCAACCAGTTTGTATTGTACCGCATAACCGAGGTCATTAAGACGGTGAGTGAGCTGTGTTTAACCTTGAAGTCACTTGGGATCTGTGCTATCACTTGGAACCCAGGCCTCATGCATATGCGCACATGTACACGCACACCACCAAAGAACTGATAATGAAGTGTAGAAGCTTACAGCTCTTGGAAAAGACAACACCTCTCTCTGGCCTGGGGGTGGAGGACAGGGTATGACTAGATCTTGGGCCACCCTGGTTGGCTTCCTGGGTGATCAGAAGAACAGTATCCTAGGTGAAATGAAACAAAGGTAGATGGAGAAATTGAAAGAGACTAAGCACAGTGGGAGAATCTAGGAACTCAGAATGCAGCAGAGAATTCACTGGGTCCCTAGCACTAGACTGAAATATAAAGACCTCCCAGTGTTAAGTGGGAGGGGGTACTTCGTGGGGTATGTCTAAGAGTAGTCAGGAATGAGATTAGCATGATTCTACTGCACTAGACAAAATATCTACCATGAAGTCTTTATGGCTGAATGCATCAAATTTAATAGCAATGTTTCAGTTGGTTTTTAATGTTTTTTATTACTGCATTGATGCACTCAGGTAGGAGAAAATCCTGGCAGGATGCATGATTCAAAGAAATGCTAATCTTTCCAGGGTATGTTTAAATTCATTTCACTATAAAAGACTATATCTCTGGAATAGTTGAGCAATTGGTTACTTCACTGGTAAAAAAAAAAACCAAAAAAACAATTAAAACCCTAACCACGTGATATCATGAGGCTAAAGAAACCAAATCACAGGGGACATTTTTTTTCCTGAAAGTAAAACTGAGCCATTTTGTTTCACAATTTAGCATAGTCATGTGAGAAATTCTGCTCCCTGGTGCTCTGAAGTAATGGTTTTTGGGGGGTATCTTCACTGGCTGACCCGTGGAAAATGTGGCTTTTGTTCTAAAATGTTCACAGTTATTTTTTTTATCTTTGCTATGTGGGCACAGCTTCTACCACCTCCTGCTTCATAGGCCCACATTATCAAAACAGAAAGAACCCTGAAGTCTATCTTGTTTGACTCCATCATCTCCCAGATACAAATACTGTGACCCAAGCAGGCTCTGAGCGAGCACTGCCCTGGGCATCAGGAGACCAGGGATCTGGGGCTGGCTCTGTCTCCCTAAGATCAGGAGGCTGCCTAAGCCATGCCCTGACCTCTCAGGCCTCCCTGCTCTTAGCTGCAAAGGAAGGGGCTGGACAACATCACCTCCAAGATCCCTTACTGCTCTGACATGCCAGGATTGTGCACCATTCAGGTGAGCGTTCAGCTCATCTAACTCAGCGCCTTTGCACTTTAAGGCTTACGATTGTATGACATCTTAGAAAAATTAGATCAGCCATAAAAAGGAATAAAGTACTGGTACATCTTACAACATGGCTAACCTTGAAAACCGTGCAAAGTGAAAGGAGCTAGACACAGAGACCACAGGTATGATCCCAGTGATATGAAATGTCCAGGCAAATACAAAGAGATAGAAAGTAGATTACTGGTTGTCAGGGGCTGAATGCAAGGAGGAATCGGTAAAAACTGCTAATGGGCACAGAGTTTCTCTTGAGGGTAATAAAATAGACTAAAATATATTGTGTGTATGGTTGTAAATATACTAAGAAACATTGAACTGTGCACTTGAAGTGGGTGAATTTTACGGCATGTGAATTATGTCTCAAGAGAACTGTTTAAAAAAGAGAAAAGAAATAAAAATTAGGAAACAAAACAAAGCAAATAAAAATACTAAAATCACCCATAATTAATTCTACCATACAGAAGGTAACTGTTAGCATTTTTTGTTTTTTGGGTTTTTTAAAATAAAATTCTCTTGTTTACTTTTTCTAGTTATAAAAATAATATGTTCATTAGGGAAAAAAGTCAGACCATTTAGAAATGTTTATTTAAAGAAGAAAGTACAAGCTAATTATAATCCCACCACTGAGAGCCATTTTAACAGCTTGCTGTATAACTTTTCAGACTTTTGAAAGACATGTACATACATATAAATCAGTTTTTACACAAATAAGCTAATACTATGGATACTGCTTTGTAACTTTTAAAAAATACATTGTAAGTATATTATGAACATTCTTCAAAGTAAATGTTTATAATACTTATAAAAATATAAATATTGGCACAGTGGTTTACGCTTGTAATCCTAACACTCTGGGAGGCCGAGGCGGGCGGATCGTTTGAGCTCAGGAGTTCGAGATCAGCCTGAGCAAGAGTGAGACCCCGTCTCTACTGAAAAAAT